ATTTCTTCTACGTCAACACGTCAACAATTACTCCAAGACAACATCGATTCATATCAACACTTTTTTCCCGTCCTTTCAGAACCAGAACCTTCCAAGGTCTCCAGAAGAAATTGTCGAATACTTGCCGGTGGCAAGTTCATATCGTCAGAAAGAGTCATCTCCAGAGCATTCCCAGCGCCAGGTGGTGACTGTTTGCGTCATGGTGACTCGATCTCCGTCTCTCGCCGTGTATAAGAATTTTAGGTCATAATCCTAAGCACACTTATGAAGCAGAAGACAATAGGCAGCGTCTCCACAACTCCAAGATTCAATGGCCGTTATACGTAGGGCTTCGATATAACGCCTATCATATGCCAGATCCATTCCCTCGATATGGATACTGTAACCAATTCTGTCAGCTCGAGTGGAAGAACTTTGTTCTATTGAGCACAAAATGGTGTTAATCCAAGCGTATGCTCACGAATTGCAATGGGGAATTGGAAGTTAACCCGGATTCGTTCCCTTGGGAATATTGACGGCAGAAAAGGGGGTCCGGAAGGTGATTGGACCGGTGCGAACAGCCCTTCCACTTAAGTACTTACACACAGAGGAGGAATCGTGGAGACCTTAGCTCCCTACTTCACCTTCCATACACAGACACAGTTCAATACTAGATATTGAGATTCATACCGACCGACATGCTTGACCTGCTGGCAAGTAAATCAGCGGTTTGAGAAAGAAATTGGCAAAATGGGGCAAATTCTTGGCCATGCTTGCTTGAGTAAGAATGGCCCCTTGTAGCCATGATCAGTACTCGGTTTCGATTCAACGTCTCTGGGACTATTCGACAAGGTCACGAGGGTACTGCCATCATGAGGAGGCTTAACAGAAGGACAGAATAATGAACCAAATTGCTGGTTCAGTCGACTCCCATCATGGAGGGCATCTACCAGATCTCATCTGTCTTACAGTTCCTGGCCACTGCAGAAGTGTAGCAAAGCCGAATGCTACAGTCGACTGATGATGCGGTTAGATCGTTGAAGGCATTCCGCAGGTTAATGAGACAGACTGCAGGCTGATTGACGGGCTTGGTACACTCACGGCCGGTGATCTTGCTTTCAATTGATAGCCCCATAGGCCAATGGAGAAGGCTGGAGTAGTCAGGGCGGTTCATTGGTTCTGCGAAATATCCATGAAGATTCTTGCTTCACAAAGATGCAATAACCTGCTTTCGTGTTATGGTGGACAGATTCATCGGGTCTGCCATGTAGCTAGAATGAACTCGCGCCAATGTGTTCCTTGAGGTGAGTCAAACCCGAGCCCTGGAGCGACATTCATATCGGATGTCTTACCGATCATACTGCTGAACGAAGGGATGACTAGTGTTTTTGCTGATGCATCACTTTGGCCAGACAAGAGATCTGGATATAGGCGAAAGCCCTTATGTTACATTCAGTGCCTGAGAGCGGTCGTCACCCACTGTTGCATCGTTCATTTCGACATGTACACGACCGTGGCGCAAAGCTGTTCCAACACATGATGTAGCGGCGGTCAACAAATAACGCTGTTTTATAGGCCTCCCTCGTGCCGGACTGTCTCTGCATCATTGCATTCTGCCCAGCTCACTTTGATCTTGTCAATTTGGGGGCTGGACCCAGCTCTTCACGGCACGAAAGGGTTCGAATGGATGGCAGGTTTCTTTCTTTTGAGGCGACTGAGCCTTTAAATAACGTGTTATTCCGGATCCAACAGAACAGGCGATATGACCCAACGTTGGAGCGAAGATGTGCCGGTCTGGATGACAATGTTTGCGAAGTTGTTGCATTTTGATGGCCATTTCTGTAGAATCATGTGACGCAAGAGCAAGTGTAGAATCCGAGATGCTCATTTGTCTCCGCTTCACTAATGGCAGTTCAAATTCTGTCCCTATTAGTATCTTTTGTAAAGTTCTCACCGTTCAGAAAAACACTGACATCTCTGAAGCCATTCATCCCTCTGCATCGTCTCACTTCAAGCCGTGACCATTTGCCGAACCAACTTAGAACTATCATCCAATGCAATAAATATCTTACTTCGCAGATGAGCAAGTGACCATAATGAGCACTTCAATCTCGCGGTCGACCGTCATCTAAAACCGCCATGGCAGCCGTGACGTTTGTAGATGATCACTTGCATTTAAGATGAATGAGTTCGACAAGTACAGCACGCCAGATATTTCCTAAAACGAAGGAGTATCTCAGACCCCCGTCAACGATGAGTATACTTAAGCGTACGCCTGACCGAGGCGACGGCAACTTACATCTTGACACTCGGGTCCACGGCTTCATTCATGTATCTTACTGCAAATCTGTCGTTTTATAATGAGAGATCAGCAAACGAGGTGGTTTAAAAGGTACAGAACCCAACGAAACTCGAGCTTGTTTGAGATAGTCCGGCCTTGAGCCAGCATCTATGCTGCGAAAGTGTTTGTGACTTGAAACACCAAAAAGGCGGATGAGAAGCACTGGACTCAGCATTGAGAAATACGCTTCCCGTTGCTTTCTTCTACTGACATCACACCTCCAGACAGGACAGTCGCCTTTGGAATTACAATGGGTTGGTTACAATTGACTGATCTCCAATGAAATTGGGTGGTGAGTGGCTCAACAGACTGTGGCCAACTGCTAGTAATTGTCGCCTCTTTGGTGTCTAGTCTTCACCTGGCCCGTGATCAATGAAATTAACGGGTTTTGCGCGCCTGATAGGAGCACATGTAGACCGTAATCGACGTAGAACCGCCCCCGAGGGAATGAGAGCTTGAATCATTGGTCGCAGAGAGACGAAGCACAATCATGAAGATGACGAAGGCCGATATCAACGTAGCGCAAGGTCTAACCCTCAGGGTTGGTGGCCCGGGTTGATGGATGTGTGCGAAAACCATTAGGAAAGCTTTAAAGTAAAGCTGAGAACTTGAATGATCATCTACATGTTTTCTCTGACTTCTGTCTTGCCCGCACCAGAGACCCCAACATTGTCTTTCTGCGAACCTTAAATGGGAAGCGTCAAGGCACTTGTGAATGTTGAATCATGACGCAGACCGTGACAAGCTTCCTTCAAGGCTTCCTGAATGACTGTTCTCGAAGTTCTAGTGAAACGCATTCAACGGCTGCGTGCCTTGTCGCAAAGATGATTCCTGTTCCACGGGGCCATTCAGGGTTTGTGCCTGGAACGACAATCTCAAACGCCTCAGGGCCAACGGCTGGCAGAGTCTGCGTTTGGCTGTGTGAGCCTGGATGAAGTCCATTACGATAGAAAGCTCGTCGAAATTTCCAGTACAATTCCTGGACTACGGAGCTCTGACCCTTGGACTTGATGTTCGTTGTGTAGAATTAGGATGGATGTGGCCTGTTCGAGACACGTAAGCGATCCAGAACACCAGTATGTGGCGGGTCAAGTCTCTGTGGAGAGTAGCAGAGGAGTGTTGATTAGCCAGAAGTACCAGCTTGGGAATCGGGAGAACATACCCTCAGGCTGTTTACTTGGACGGTGTCACCAAATCGATCCCTCGTTTTGAACAACCCGATGGAACTTGATCTAGTACATGGAGCAATGTGTCCCCCAAACGTTTCACATGGGCCTCTGAGGGAGTTGACTATGTCTGATAGCATCCATGTTTGCTTCTGTCTTTGTGGTTTTAGCCATTTCCTTGAGCGGTACATAAAGTCGGGCAACCGCTGTACATTAGTGGAAGCTTGCACTGATTTATTTACTCCTTCACAAAGACCTGGAGAGGAAACGCCAAGTCACTGGAATCCAAAGCCCTCCTTTTGTTGTAGTCGATATCTGCTGCAGTATACAAGTCGTCGGATCCAAACAGGACGATGCAGAGTTCAAGATTCACGCAATAGGACGATTATTCATCAGGCTAAGAAGCGCCTCGGGACTGTGTGTTCGGCCAGTGGCCGCTTTGACAAGAGATAAGCAGCTATTGTGGCCTACGTCGGAGAGAGATTTGCTTGACCATGTGCAACAATATTTCGAAAAAGGAACGGTGATTGTAGCCATTGTGAATAGCACGTAGCAACTGGTGGCTGTGAGATATTATAAGAAACACTCTCTACCCAAATCGTCCTGGTGGGATCACCGGCGAGCGATCCCAGGGACGGGAGGTTGACTAGTTAATGGAACTGTGTGCTCGCTCGTCCACATTCTAGGCCGTAATGACCCGTATCGGGTGGCTTCGAAAGGCATCCGCTGTGGCACGGCAAGCCGTGTGTGAGCTGGCCTTTCTGGCATCTGCGACCAGACTTAGACGAAAACAAGAGGTGGAGTGGTCTGCCCAAGTCGAGATGTTAGTTGAATCGAAAAGCACGCAGTGTCGACCTCAGGTGGCAGAGAAGAAAGAATTACGACTTGAACCCCGTAGCACAGTTGCCACGCTTTGAGCCTCCATGTCAAAGTCAAACTTTGCGTCATGTTCAACGTTTGTATTGTCCATTTTTCAGGGCAAGGACGTCAAATGTGGGGGGTGGAATGTGTTGGAAGTCGTCCTAATCCATCAAAGATTCCAGCTTAAAAGCCTTTCACGAGGATGGGAACGATCAAGTCGGGGTTGAACTCCTTGGCGATGGGCATGATGATCTTTTGGAGGGCGGCAGTGTTCTCGTCATCCCCCATTCCCTGAACATGCCATCCGATTTCGAATTCTTTCCCAATCCAAGCCCTGTACCCCAGTGGTCGAGGCCTCCATCCGGTATTTCTGCATTCTCTGGTGGTCCAGGGTAGAATTCTCCGTTTTGGTAGACGTGAAGAGAGATGTACAGAACATTTGGGTCACGCGAGGACAAGGAGGATAGGGAGAATGAGGAGGATGAAGAGGACAGGGAGGACGGAGAGGATGGCGGGAATGGGGAGAATAGCGATTCTGTAAAATCTTGAAGCGCATCCTTCAGAATCTCCAAAGCTTGATGGCCCACGAGACTGGCCGGTGGGGTTGCGAGCTGCAGAGGAGAAGAAAACCGTGAAGTCACGAAGTCGGGAAATTAGGGAGTTGGGAACGGGATGCTGAGGCTGATGAGGGGCGGCGGCGACGGTGACAGACCGGCATTCCATGGGGAGACTGCGAGAGCTGAGTAGACTGCAGAGGTCTCCTGTGGCGGAGGTTCGAATGAGTCGTTGCTATCGTCGCCGGCCTAGAGATTGAAGGCGGGGTTGAAGGGCTAGGACATCTGCCCGGATTGTCCACACGATGTTGTTCGCCGCGCAGATGGTGTTGTTGTTTGTGGCGGACATGGCTATGCTCGGAAAGCCCGGGCGGATGGGACCACTTGAGGGTCCTGCCGGGGGATCTGTAGGGTATGCTGCCGAAGGCTTGAGATTTGGAAGATTGGTCAATGGCCACATTGTAATGATGGTATTTGGACGTACGGAGCAATCTCGGCGCTCAACGGCACCATTGTCTTGACGGTCATCGTCCAAGGGATTTGACGGTGTTCCATGAGACCCGTCTCCAGCAATAGTTTGTTCACCTGGTTGATCAGAGCATCGGATTGTCCTCCTTGGGATGCTCTTAAGTGAGGGCTTGAGTGCCGGCCAAATGTTTGCAAACGATGGGAGTGTGTCATGCGAGATGTCTTACCTCTCCGCCGCGAGTCACTCTTGCCGAGGTCCTGGCGCATCTTCAGCTCAACAGCATCAACGACGCCGGTACCCCATGTCGCCGTCTTATTCTCGTCCCATTATCAGTATGAGACGGGGAACCAAGTAATGAACGGTCCGTGGCGGGTATCTGTCATCCACTTTGTTGCGTGGTGGCTCACGAGACTGTCAAAGTGGAGGATTACAACGACTCAGGCCGAGTCGTGGACGAGGATGCTGCAATCAGTTTAGAGACGGGGTATCAGCTCGTTATTTTGAGTGGAGGTGGTGAACTCACGGTCGGCATTGGAGGAGAGGAAGCGTCGACGGTGCGGGGAATACGGAATGATGGCACGAATGCGAACGCAACAGTAGAAGTCGCGTTGCTTCTTGATCGTTGGGACGTAATAGGCCATACGATTGCCACAAATTTACTAGATTGGATCAGAAAGTTATCAATGGTGGAACACACGATGTTGTGATGAGAGGCTGGCATCATACCGTCGAGCTATTGTTGCGGTATATGGTGGCTGAGGATCGATGATGAACCCACTCTACGAAATTAGTCAGTGATGTGGCTAGAAGAGAGTGGGAAGACCAGATTCGTCGACTTGGGCAAAGGACGGGAGTTTCTGGTTCTGGTGGTGTCTTTGGGGATGTCGTCGATGGGAGACTCACCAACTAAGTTCTGGCCACAAAAATGTATTAGCAGGTGTGCGCGCTGAGAAGAATCTGATAAACTGCCGTTGTTGTTACCGTACCCTGATGCCTCTGCTTTGCTGCCATAGCCCACGGCAATGCCCTTGTTTGACAAGGACAAGAGGGTTTCAGCAGGCTGAGAGTGATTTCCGTTTGTCAAGGGCGCGCTCTCTGTGTGGGCATAGCCGATGGCGAGAGGCTGGGCCTTCTCCGTCTCCGACTGCCGAAATATGGCGAAAGGGAAGACGTTACCGTGGGATGTTGATAGGCGGCGATGATGATAATAATGATGACGATGGTGGTGGTGGTGGAGATGTCGCGAGACTGTGCAAACCAATACAAAAGACCATGATGCATGAACCACTGGGCGACAAATACGTCTTCGAGCCGTTCAATCTCCTCCTGCAGTAGAGTGACTTGGTCTGCAGTGGGGATTGGAACAGTTGAATCGGCTACCGCTTCGGACTGAGAACCATGTACTGCTTTGCCCTGCAACTTTGGTGGATGAGGAATCATGTACTGCTCCAAAGAGACTGTTGGTATCCCTGTCACAGGGTAATTGGTTCGAACCGTGGGCTGACGAAGAGGTCAATTGAACTCTATGATCTCTGCATGAGGTGGAAAAGGGAGGCTCAAACCGTAGGTTGGGCAGGCCGCAATGATCACAAGTATGGTCTGTAAGTGGCCCCTGCGCGGGCCCGCGGCCTCAAGGTCGAATCGGTCTTCCAATGCGACAGAGATTGCTTGTGATCGAGAGTCCATACGAGCAGATATGGACTGGCTCTGGATGAATGGAGCCTGGCTGCTAGCACGAGGGGATTGCCGAGACCCGTCGTACGAGTTTGGGGTTGTATACTGTTCATTCGCATCCCGGCTGGCCTTGGAATATGCGTAGCCGCTTGAGCTTGCCTGTGCATGCTCGGAAGTGGCGAAACATTTCGCGAGGCGTCGCGTTACCAAGTAGTTGCCACCCACGGCTGTAGAATCCCGGTAGTGGAGTGACTGCCATCCAAGGGAGTAAGTGCCCATCCAGTGCCCGCGGCGTTGGCATCCAATGCTGCAAGACGCTTTGGAAGGAATTCGACATCTCGTCGTCTCGTCACCGCTCGTTCACGATCATCTAGTTCCAGGCGAAAGTTGAGCGGTCAGGCCGCTCTTGGCAGTGACGGCGGCGTGGTAGCGACGATGCTGGTGCCAGGTCCTGCGGGCCAATGTTAGCTTTTGTCTCTTGGAGCGACGCAGTGCCGGAACATGCCTCGTGGATGCTGGTTGGCTGAAGCTGCCACTGGAGATTCGTTCATGACCGGAACACCAAAGAGGATAAGTAATCGCGGGTGAGGTGGTCGTTGACGCCGATATTGGCGGTGATGCTGTTGCTGGTGAGAGCTGGTGCAAACCGAGGCGAGAAGCCATGGTGCAGGCACAGATGCCGAAACACTCGATGGAGAAGGAACTGCGTCTGCGCCTGATTGTGGGCAGGGGTGACGACTTCCCCAGTTCACGAAGAGCAGGTGTGATGGGAGATGGAACTTTCGAAAGAGCAATCAGAGAGTGTGCAATTTCCGCACCTATCTTACGCAGTGCTCAGCTACTTATCCGGCATGGATGGCAATGGAAGGTAAGGTGGGTACCGTGAAACCATTAGAAGACATCCCCTGGTTCCCGCCTTCCATATCATCGGAACAGGAAGCCTCCATTGATGTTGCTCTTGTCCGAGAGACCGAGAATCCAATCGGACCTGACTCTTGAGAGGTTGAATTAAGGTCCGCGCTACGTGAATAAGGCGAGGGGGTCTGGTTGAAAGAATGAGGTGATGAGTGCCACAGTGTGGGACCCTGAAAGACAACCATGCCCGCGGTAGGTTTTGGAGTGGGTCGGCCAAATCCAACCGTGCGCCTGACAGCTTTTGGAGTCGGCAGTCGACGCCCTACCCACGCCAGGTCAACTGCATAAGGTACCTTCAGGCAAATCTCAAGGTTCCATTGTTAGCGGCTCGTCTGACATGCCCAACAACCTTGATGGTGCCAAGGGCGCTCCAACCTGAAAAGTTGTGCTACCTTCCATGATTGATGCTTGAGGTGGTTTCTCCAAGTGCAAAGTGCGCTCTGTGCATGATGCGATACAGCTCTACTGATTACACAATGACATTGTCAGACAGGTTTTAGTCAACCTGCTTTTCTTCTCCTCTCGCGCTCACATAGTCTCGAATCTGAGCGACAGCCAACACTTCCAATCGCGACAACAGGGTGGTTCCTTCGACGATCAGTGGGCACGGTTGAGATTACTTGCTTGCCGAGTATCAAGTATTCTTTCTCTGTGATTCTTCGTCATCTGCCTCTGCTGAGTTCCGGTTCAAGGTGATCGACTGCTCCGACGATGGGGGATCAGGGCCACTTCCCGCGTACGTACCGACCGGTACGTGAGCACGTGCCTACCTGACCGTTCCAGGACCACTGTTACCTTCCATTTGGTCTACACTGAGTGTGGGTAAAGTGAGGTGTCAACCTTAAATGAACCTCACAGCTTCCTTGTTCTTTAGCATGGACTGACTTGCTCCTGGCATGACTGGACTAATGTACGTCACCGAGTAGCTACCTCGTATACGTAGTGCTGATGTGGCTGATTCCCGGTCTGTTCCAGTCATGCTGATTTCAGGGCCACCTCACCCGCCTCACCTTCCTTAAAGTCGACAAGTACTGAGTACTCCACCTGGAAGGAAAGCCCCATCCGCATCCCAAGTCTTTCTGCCCAGGGCAGGTTACAACAGAGATTTCTTCATCCTTCGGCTGCCGGGCTGCCCACGCACCATCTCATGCCATTCAACTGCAGCAAGTCTGCAGCCGCAGTCTTTTTCATTCCCTGCCGTGAGAATGTCTTGTCACGCGCTTTCGACAGCTCCGTAGGAACCTGTTGCCTTGCATTTACACCTCAGTATTGAACAACCCCACCGACCTGAATCATTTCATACTTCAGAAGGTGCAGTACAGTGCAGTGGGCCCCAGGCCCGAGGCGAACTCAGGTCCACTGGCAACCGTACTTCACCTCATCCTTGGAGCGTACCTTATCTATCCTTGCTTGAAGCGTTGCGTGAAGCATTGTATGAGGTGCTTGCTGAAGCGAGTACTTTCGCCTTCCGGGCAGTCAAGACATGTCATCATGGTGGAAAGAATGAGAGGATCTCCCCCGATGGCGTTGCGAGACAAGTCTGCTAACCGATCAGACCACATAATCCTTCTTTACGTACTTTATCAGACTCATCCACCCGGCGCCCAATGAGATCGTCACTTGTTCGTCTGTCTCACTCTCTCCTCTCCTCTCCATCACCTGCGTTCTCGCGCAGCAAGGTATCATGCTCTAGCCCGGTGCCCACCTGTTCAGTACCGCGGCCCTCCTCGGGATTCCCGGAGGAATGTCCATGCATCCCAGAGGCCCATGAGCAACGGTACCCATTCATTGAAGTAACAAAACCAGTGGCTTTTGCCTTCGACTGTGGCTTGCTTTCTCTGCTTTCTTTCCGTTGCGAACTGCCCAGGTGATTGGTTTTCTGTCTTCACGGGGGATTACAGCCACGATTGGAATATTGACGGCAGAGAAAGGGGATCCGGTAGGTGGTCGAGCCCTTGCATACGGCCCTTCTACCTATTTGCAACCGACACGGAAATCATGGGCTTTGCCCACCAACTTCTTCCCCCCTAATCCACATTCGCAGTTCGACATCACGATTATTGAGCTTCGTACTGATTGAAAGGTTTGCTCTGCTGACGTGGATACTAATATCTACCATCTGTTGTTGAGTCTTTCTCTGCTGTTCCAGGGTCATGGTCGAGTCCGCTGATGCGGAAATTGCCGGTCTTCCAAGGTCGAATTCCGCGTAAAAATCGTGGTCTCCTCCACCGGTTCAACTTCGACGACCCTGGTTGGCATATCTACCTTCACCTCTTCGTCCTACTTATTCGTCTGCATATAGATCATTTGCCTGTCTATGCGCGGCTGCTCATGTGCATATGGAACAATGAGAAAACGCCGGTACCTTGCTAGGGTGGAGGCGTTTGCCTTTTTAGCAAGCCAGCGCTTCACGACCTTGGGATGGCACGATTGCTCCGATACTCGTGGGCAACTGGGTCATGAACACACTCTTTTTCTCCATTGACATGACCATTGTGTCGTCACTGCTCACCTCAAGCGCGAAGCACAGTGTTGGATTACGAGGCAGAAAAGGGACCCTATTAGGTAGTTAGGTAGGGGTGGTAGGTAGGCAGTCTGGGCCCGTGCAGACGGACCCTTCCACCTACTTATACCTACAAAGGGATCGCGGGCCCTGCTTATAATCTTCCCCTTTTATATATATATAATAAACCTATATTAACTTATTAACCTCGTTATAACTAAAAGGTCTAACCTACTTATATATATATTAATACTAATTAATAATTAAATTATATATATATATTTTTATTAAAAGTTAATAAGGATATAATTATAAAAAGAATAGCCTCGACTTATTTTATTAATTATTCTAACTTATTAACTTAGTTTTATTTATTTAATTAATAATAAGTAGCTTAGTTTATATTACCTTAATTCTCTTTTATTATTACTAATTAATAATTAATTAACTAATTATAGGCTATTAAAAACGTACTTTATTATATATAATCTTTTTTACTAAGGTTATTATTATAAAAAGATTAATTATTTTATTATTATTAACTTTATTTTTATTATTAATATTATCTTTACTAGCCTTATCATAACTACTAATTTCCCTCTAATCGAGCCGCTCGTAAAGGAATTTATTTTAAATATATTATAACTAAGTACTATTTTAAATTAATAATAAATAAAAAGAGATTAATTATTAAGAGATTAATCTAACGATTACTAACGTATTAGCGCTCGGTAATAATAAGACTTTTAGAATTATAAATATATTAATAATAAATATTCTTTTATTAATAATAAAGTATTTTAAGATATTAAAAAAAAGAAAAGATCTTAATAATAGTAGTAATAAGGATTTATTTTATATTATTAATAAATTTACTTCTTTTTAACTTAATAAAAGCTCCGAGACTAAATTAATAAAAATAAAATACAAAAAATACTAAAAGGAATTACTAATTAGTAGCCTACAAAATCCTCTATATATTATTAGAAATACGGTTATAAAAGGCCTTTTTTTTTTTTACGACCTTTTGCTAATTTTAATAACCTTCTATTTATATACTTTATTAAAAAAGTAGAATTTTTTACTTAGTAATAATAGCCCGCTTACTACTATTAAAACGATTATTATAACCGACTTACTACTCTTTTTAACCTAACTAACGTTATACTATAATTAAATATAATAATTATTTCTTATAATTATTTTTTATTATATACTTTATTAAATATAGTATAATAACTACTAGCCCTAGTAATAAGTAAGAAGGGTTTAATAATTAGTTAATATTACTTTAAACCTATTTATATTTTTAAATTATAAAACTATACCTAATTCCGACTCGTTAATA